ATTTCTCCAGTGACATATGTATTCCTAACAGGTTAAAAATATGTGTTCATTTAAATTGTTTTCATGTATTGATTAGTGTTTAATGGCACTGAAAAGCTCAAATGTGAAGGATTACATGTTGCTTCGTGCATATTACTGTATGTATTACCTATTTGAAAGATGGTTTATGTCATGTTGCACAGTATTAATGTAAAGGCTAAAAGCTCAGAGTTTTTGGCAGAGATAACATGCAATATGACACATACATAAGATATACACCAGATGCGATGTTTATTTTCCAATTATGTTGTATTTTATTCCTTGTATTTTTGAATGTGATTATACTGAGTCTGCATTGTACTCGACTGAGAGAGGTGGATTCTGGTCGAGGGTAGAGTTTTGAACATTTTCTCTCCTTGATGTTGAACAGATTGAGAGAGTTGTACACAATAAAGTGCCTTCAAGTACGCCAGTGTCTTGTCTTCAGTGCACCGGAACACAACGCAGTAGTCGGCAACGAGCAGACCGTGCCGGCTACATGGGCAGAACTGAAAAAGCGGGTGCGAGCAAGGAGGCCTACAAACCTGACTCAGTTACACCAGCTCTGTCAGGAGGAATGGGCCAAAATTCACCCAACTTATTGTGGGAAGCTTGTGGAAAGCTACCCGAAACGTTTGACGAAAGTTAAACAATTTAAAGGCAATGCTACCAAATACTATTTGAGTGTATTTAAACTTCTGACCCACTGGGAATGTGATGAAAGAAAGAAAAGCTGAAATAAATAATTCTCTCTACTATTATTCTGACATTTCGCATTCTTAAAATAAAGTGGTGATCCTAACTGACAGGGAATTTATACTAGGATTAAATGTCAGGAATTGTGAAAAACAGAGTTTAAATGTATTTGGCTAAGGTGTATGTAAACTTCCGACTTCAACTGTACGTGTACATTTATTTTGCAAAAGCCTGTTAATGTACCATATAGGAAGCAATGTAAATAAAAGTTTTATTGACTTATTATTTTAAACTCTGCCTGGTTTCACTGGCTGGTTTCATGGCTTTGGAATAAGGATGCCTTGCAAACCGTTATAGGATTACATAAAGTCAATATTTGACTGGTTGCAGTTTTTGATTCTCAGAAACATAATCATAGGAGGGGCATTTTTATTGTTTTGCTAAATTTCACCAAAGTATGAAGTAGCACTGTTAGCAAAAGCCAATGCTTCCTTACTTAAATAGATATTCTACCAAAGATTATACTCTACACTCCAACATTGAATAATTGGAAAAGTAGTTTTGATGTATCAATCAAACATTGATTTTGGAGGTTATTGCTAGGGTGTTTCAGTGTATGGGTAAAGGAAATACATATCTGCCATGCTGAGAGTTTGTGCTACGTGCATTTTGTTTCCTCCACGGTCCAGTGCTTCTGTTTAATTGATTCCCTGATTTAATTTATTTCGGCTTCCTGCGTTTCCCGGTTGAAAACAACAGATAGGGATATTGCATCTCCTTCGTCAAACACAGTGAGGTACATGTAAAATGCATTTTAAAAGAGCGACCCTTTATAGTGTTACGCTTTACAAAAAAAGCAATTAATCTTATGTATTTAAACATCTCTTTTCCTCCATTTATCCTAATTCAACAAATCTTCCCTAAATCGTCTCTAAATTATAGATGATATTGTCTTATCAAGGCTGCAATTTATTTCGATTTAGAGTTATTTAGTTATTTAGATCTGAAACTTCAGTCAGACAGAATCAACCTTCAGGCCAGGGAACTGAACTGAAACAAGAGCAGAGAAAAGGAAAATCAGTTGCTTGCGTTGGCCCATCTGAAAATGTCTGCAGGGGCAAGAACCAAATGCACCTTCCAGGCCCACAGAGACAAAGGCTGGAGCAGAAGAGGAAGATGGGAAAGAAAACAAACAGGAATCCACTAAAGCAGCTTGTGCCAAGACAACGGGTCACCTTTTAAATGTTAATGATGATGATCATTGTGTAATTAGGACGAGGTGACAATGCCAATTTGTGTACGTGACTGCAGAGCCTTTTATACTCTACTGATGCATTGTACTTTCAGCACCACCTCCTGTTAGTAATAAGATTGTGGTCAGGATAACGTGTTTGGTTGTTGTTGTTCAATAGATGAATAATATGAGAGCCTAATAATGTTGTAGGCAATTCCTGAGAGTAGAGTATGACACACACACTAATAAAGTATTGTTCTATCTTTTCCACCAGGGAGTTGTCTGTGATTTCTGAAATTGTCAAGATAATCACAGTAAAATAACAAACTCCAACATTTTATTTCTTAACATACCAGCAGGTGACATTGAATGAATGAAATCTCATAATTGACAACATATCCAACACATCACACGGCTAGTAGCTACCTGTACTCCACAGAAGAACACCCACCCACTCTCAATTTACAGACTGCAACCCTTAACACTCTGAATGCAAGGTGCCAGTTCTAATTGACTGCAGTCTGCAAGACGTCCGATTGGTTGACTCTATTCCAGCAGAGATAGAGCCCTGGGAGCAAAGTCACTGAAAAAGGTATTGATCTTGAGGAGTGAGAAGTACCGCAATGTCCTAATTGAGCTGGCTTTGAGCCTCTGCACGTCCAAATTACACCTGACCTGAGAGCTATCCAAGAGCATGACTACACTATTCCCACACTCGTGTGCCTCCACCAAAAGTGTTAGACCCCCATGTATTATTTCCCTGATAATGAGGCCTTACCTTGGAATGATGCGTTAGCCTGAATGGATACATAGACGCGTTGCCTTATCTGTCATTCTTCAATGTGATTGTTTAGCTTTGACAGCTTTATTAACCTGCATGTTTGGCTGGGTTTCTTCTATTTATAGTCAAGGTAACTTAGGAGAGGAGCAGGAGGAGAGATAGTCAGAGGTGCAGAAATAGTCAAATACTGTACTGTAGCTACAGCAAGAAGAGTTAGATACTTTGCTGTTTCTAACAAATAATTGAAAAACAAACAAAGGGCATTCATAAGCTGTAGGATACTAGGCTTCTTGGGTTAGGAATGAGGCAATACAAAGCGGGAGTTTGTTGTTGTGTTCTCACTGTTGTCATGAATAAAAATGTCTGCTCATTTAAAAGCTATATATCTTCTTTGGCATTTGCGGGATATTCGTCCGTGATGTTGATCTATTCCAAATGGATGAATGGATGTTTTTTCTTTCAATATATCACGGTCTCTCCTTCCCTCCTGACATCCTGGCGTAGTTACAACATCGAAATCACACTTCATGGAGTGCATCAATTGCATAAACAATGTTTGTTGCGAATGGTGCGTTGGAAGAAATATTCCCCCCATCTCCATCGGTTTAAAGGGATTCTTCGGGATTTTGGCAATGAGGCCTTTTATCTACTTCCCCAGAGTCAGATGAACTAGCGGATACCATTTTTATGTGTCTGTGTACAGTATGAAGGAAGTTAGAGGTAGTTTCACGTGCCAATGCTAACTAACATTAGCGCAATGACTGGAAGTCTATGGGTATCTGCTAGCATGCTAGTGCCAAAATCCCAAGGTATCCCTTTAAGAAATTAGGGATTCTTGGAAAGGCATTGACAGTGTCTGGGGCGCATCTGACAGAGAGAATAAATGTGCTCCTCAGTGTAATGATCACTCTAAGCCCAGAGTAGCATGCTGAATATCAAAGAGCACAGCACACAGGCCCATGCTGACTGAATCACAGCCACTAATGAGACTTAATAGTCTTAATTCGTCCCCCTCAATATGACATCCTTTATTTTCTAGTCCACACTTAGAGCTATAAAGTCGATTGGAGACTCACAACAACAGGAAGCCTGATATTTAGGTATTTTTATGTGCCAAAAGAGAGAATACTAGCTTGGAGGATTGTGATTTGGGCCGGCTAGTTGTTACAGGCATGTTATTTACATGAAAGGGTTCCATAAACAGTGATTCCCTACTTTGGAAAAATATTTCCAAGTATTTGGCGAGATGATTATAGAAAATGACATGTTCTTTGAATGGGGTTGAGTTTGTAGTGGAATATAATTTTCAAACTACACAGAAACCTTAAAAAGAGGACTGTGGTTTATCGTGTCATAGCACAATCATATACCTGTAATCTTTCATCATTCGACACTAGTAAGCTATACTTTCTCAAATGTGCATTTACATGCTCTAATATGTTATTTTAGCTCCAATTGTACATGTGAGCAGAGTAGAAAATCTCCACATTTTTACTTATTAG